GATACATAGCATATCATAAAATACTACAGCACATATTTATGTAAAAAAAACATCCTTTTGGCAATGTGACACAGTTCATCTAGGCAGGTACCCAGATGACTCAGAGACATATGTAGCTGCCGCACTGGCTGTTTGTATGCCGTGACATCACACCGGGAGGGAGCACAGCCACGTAGTTATAGCCCAGTAACCCACTGCCTCAACACACATTCACTTCCTACATGTATATACTACAGCAATGCTCTTCATTTTTCTTATTCTAAAGTTTTATATTATACACTAAACCCTCGATAACACGGCACATATGGGGCTCTGGCCTTGCCGAGTTATCCCAAATTCCAACTTATCGAGGCACTTCCCCCTCCTACAAAAATACAACAATAAAAAATTTTCGACCCATATATGTGTACATGTAATTACTAAAGTAAAAAAGAAACATTTACCAGCACTGCAGACGAAGAATGAAGCACCATAGTAGGTGACACAGAGGCATGGTAGGTGACACAGAGCTATGGTAGGTGACACAGGTGGCCAGATATGCCGAGATTTTCCCAGATAATTTTATATATCTTGGCATTTCCCGAGTTATACTACAGCTCCTCCCCGACTTACGATGGGGTTAGGGACCCAAATCCAGGTCGTAATTCGAAAATGCTTAAATAATACATAGAAATTCTAAAACGGGTGTCTCTTTTTCTTCTCAGCACCACAAAACTCTCACTTTTAAGCTTGCCAGCCATTTTAAAGTGAATTACAAACGAAAATTTTGTCAGTACACAGCGCAATCACTGACGTTGGGACTCGAAAATACGTAATTTGAAAAAATTTTGGTACGACTGAGGCAGGTCCTAAGTGCAGGTGGTCGAAGTCGAGTAGGTCGTAAGTCGGGGAGGAGCAGTATACTGTTATACATTCCAAGACCATATCCATGCCACGTTATATGAAATGACGAGTTATTGAGGGTTTGCTGTATTTTCTTTATTCCTAAGTCACATCAATATAGAGTGAAATATATGAGATCAGCCTGTAGCACTATGCATTATAGGATTTTTTAGGGATTCTAACAGTGAGTTTCAACTAACCGGGAAAAACTCTGGAGAAAAAAAAGTAGGGATAAATTTTTAAGCTGCAAATTAAATTACACTTACAAGCATTGTGCAGCAAAAAAATTGTTTCACAACCAATAATTAAAGCTGTGAACCTAAAATATACCATTATCCTTAGTTATTATATTAACCCTCTTTTTTTACATTAATTTTACTACAGCTACAACCAGGGTCTTATTTTCTCTAGTTTATATGGAAAACCATCGACACTAACGAAAACAATGCCGTCTCATACATGGTCTTATTTTCTTCAGTTTCATATATAGAACCATCATCATGGGAGCAAACACTAATGAAAATAATGCCGTCTCATTTCCTCGTGCGTTTTAATATTCTACGTATGATAAATGAATTGTATTGTTCATTTCACATACATAAAAATAAATCAATATTCAGTACTGTAATAAACAATAATGAATCTTTTGTAAATATTCTTAAAAAGATAAATGACACTAGGTTTCCACGTGTACGTACGCACATACGTTGGCTTTCCGCTATCAGTCTCTAACTTTTTGTCTTTCCCATTAGTGGTTGTTATTATTATTGATTTATCTTGTATAAGGTGCATTCATAAACATTTAAAGAGTACAGTAGTTTGCATTTTTCATTAATTTTATTGTTTTGGGGGAAGAGAGAGTAAAAACCCACACAAAAGATATGGAAAGGTCATACTAGGTGTTACGTGTTGTAAGTCTAAATGAAGCATTCTGCTCATCCCGATGTTATTTTATTATTGTTTGTAGAGGGGCACATGGCCACCAAGAGAACAGGAGGACTCTTCTCTCCACGTATTATTATTACCCTACAATTACCATTGCCGTGCCTGCTCGACACGTAACACATCTCATCAATAATTCACGATACGACGATAATTCACCTTACACCGCAATACACGAAGACACAGTACCATAGTTATTCGAGGATTTACTGTATTTATCAACATGTTATTCTTCAAAGAAACACTTACCTAGCCTCTTACGCATTTATGGCATTACGTTCCATTAGCTATCGTAAGCTATTTGTGTTAAGGACTTAATGAGTGATCATGTACTGCACTCACTTAAAGGACGTGGAAGTGTGCAAAATGCAGCAGGCATGTGCCATTCCACCATTTTCTGGATGAAATATTTAGAAGTTGCCAACACCTCCTAATATGTTGAGTCTTATATAGGGAGAGAGAGAAAAACTAAAAATAATTTATTCTAGAGCATTTCCGTCGGAAATTTATGTCTTTTGAGTAGTTTAACCGATAAAATTACCAACAATATTTCTTGTTCAAAGTGAGCAGGGCTTTGATGTAGAGTGAAAATGTGGGGTAAAATACTAAAAAAAAAAAAAACACAAAACAAACTTTTGAAAATTTGACCTAACGTTTCCTAACCTTTAAAAATCTTAAAACTATAATTTTTTTAACTTATTCATGTTTTCTGTGTTTAGTATGTAATGGTGTTGTTTTCATTCTTAAGTATGTGTCGGTGATTTTGGTGTTCAGATGAGGAGGTGTTCCATAAACTCAAAAGTGATTCTTAACATTTTTACAAGTTATGAAAGGTTAGGTAAGGTTTTCAAAGTTTTGTTTAATGTTCTTTTTAAGTATTTTACCCCACATTTTCCTTCTCCTTCAAAACCCCGTCCACTTTGAACAACTAATATTCTGGGTAATTTTATCGATTAAAATACTGTACTCGGACAATATTGTATAAATCTTTGACGGAAACGTTAGAGGATAAATTACTTTTCTTTTTTCTTTCTCCCTACATAAGACTCAATATATAAGTAGGTGTTGGCAACTTCTAAATATTTAGCCATTGCTGCACTTTATCCACCTCAAAATCAAAGGAAGTTCCTTCTGCTGTTATGAAGTCCAGGGGGTTATGCCCTCCAGTTAGCAACTTAATATGGTTAATCATTTACAATATAAGTTACCAATACCTACGTACTTATATATTGAGTCTTATATAGGAAGAAAGAGAACAAAACTAAAAATATTTTATTCTATACTGTACTTTCACTTTTATCCTCTTCGCCACTGATTGGCTCGATGGCCATTTGGGCGGTCGGTCACATCTCTGATGCACACTGTTGGAAGATACTGGGCATGTACCGGCTCCTAAATATATCGGAACCTGCTCCAGTGTTGGTCAAGTCTGGCCTTGAATGAGCTCACGCTCCATGCTGTCACAACGCTCTCTGGCAGATTGCTCCAAGAGTTCACAATTCTCACTCAAAAAAAAATTTGCCCTCACAGTTTTCTGGACTTGTGGCTTCTTCAACCTTGAGCTGAGACCCCTTGTGAGGCAGACGTCCGCCAGCTCCAGGTATATACATTCGACCGAGTAGTGCCCAATACACTAACCTGTGGTAACCTGCTAGTCACAGGTACACATGACGATTTCATACCATTTATCATCACACACTGTTTGCAGACCATGCAGAAAGTCTCCAATCCACACAAGGACACTTCCCGGAATCCTGTACTCTTCCAGTTTAATTTTCAGACTCTCATGCGGTACACTGTTGAAAGCCTTGGCAAGTAGCCTACATATTGTCGATATTTCAGCCTTGTTCTAAAATTTGAGTCCAAACATCTTACACCTTGAGTAATTGTGTTAAGCAGGATCTTCCCGGCATAAAACCGTTGGCAGTCCTTTATAAGGTTGTTTCATAGCAGATGTTCCATCATGGCATCTCTTAGGCTACGATGCTCTCTACTACTTTGCACACTATGCTGGACAGGCTCACTGGTTTATAATTATTCGTGGAGTGACGATCGCCCTTCTTCAATATATGACTCGCATAAGCCATCTTCCAGCCATCGGGGACCTTTTGCTCCTCCAGGCATTTGTAGAACAGGATCTCTTAACAGTTTATTTCTCATAACCTCGTCCGAGAACACAATGTGGGTCAGTTGTGTCAAACGATCTTTCCTCAAATGCAGGAAGATTGTTCGCATCCTCTCTTGTGAATACCGATGAAAAAAAAATTTTCAACACCTATAATGTTTCCATCGGAAATTTATATTTTTGGAATATTTTAACCGATAAAATTACCCACAATATTAATTGTTCAAAGTGGGCAGGGCCTTGAAGTAGAGGAAAAATGTGGGGTAAAATACCGAATATATTTTTGACTTTCTAACAGAGAATGGTGTGACAATGCAAATTTACCTAGGTAAGGATAGGGCTGTTGTTCATACCCACAAATGTTAAGTAGCGTTTATGTTAAAAATATCCACTTTTTAACATATTTCCACAAACTACAACAGTCTCCACTATAATATAACAATGAAAATCCGGCGTTTTTATAATTGTTTTCAATCGATTTTGCTAGCGGGTTAATCCTATATAATTACCACCATCTCTTCCACCGTTACACTTATATCCAATGTGATTCTGGTTGGTGTTAAGACAGCTGGAAGGAAGGCCAGTGATCAACTACAGTACAGAGGTTAACAAAAGTAGTTTTTTTTAATATTTTGGGCAGCCTTGTACCATATCTTAAACGTTCACAAGACATTAAGCAAAAGTAAAGGGTTGTGTATTAAAAGTTTCCCTCCTACACATCTACCTAACCAAAGATATTTATTTACTTGATCAAAGTGAACCTATAGCTCCTTATGTAAGTCACACTTTGTATTGAAGGGGCCTACATCTCTTTTAAACCATCTCTTAAAGTTAGTTCGTGGAGACATGTCAGTATTGTTATTGTTGTAATGTATAAATTTCACTATTACAGGGAGTGCGGGGTGTCCACTACCCTGTCTGGTAGGACTAAACTACTATATATTTCAATACTGCATATACATTTTTCACATAACGAATGATACTCATTTTCTTGCATAAAAGATGAAAATTTTACAAAGATTTACCTGGACGCGGAAAAAATCCCACTTACTGTTTCTCCAGAGGTTAACCAGCCACTGCTGCCCGGACCGACAGTGCTCAACCAGTCGCATTTACTAAAACACTTCAACTTCTGTATCAAAACAAAAACAAATAAAAACTATATAAGAATTGTAATAGAATAATCCAAACAAAACAATAAAAATAATAATAATAATAATAATAATGATACTATAACTACTACTACAAACAATAACAATAATAATAATAATAATAAAATAATAATAACCAAAATAATAGGAAAGGTTTATCTGCTGTAAATAAAAAAGTACAGCATTAAGCGGCAGGCGAAATTTTCATCCTACTTTCTTTTTTAATTATCATTTATCGTTACTAACCTTTCGGGCGACTGTTCTCTTCTGTTGTACTTTAAATAATACGCATCGCCACTGACTGGACTGTCACTCACTTAGGCTCTGTACTACACACTGTTAATTTTTATTCAATTTTTCAATTTCAATTGTTTATTCCTTGATAGAGGAAGCGGGATCGTAGTGCTGTCACTAGGTACCCTGTACAATAACACCAGAAGCATGTGGCAAGTGTGACAAGTATATACAGTATAAATATTATAAAGGGGGCTTACTAAAGCCTAAGGAAGGAAGGATATTCCTTTAACACATAATCAATGTTATTTACAAAATATCTGGCCAGTATGGGGAGGATCATCGTGTCTCCGTCAGGGGGTCGAGGTGTGGTGGTCCAGCAGGCGTCACGGAAGCGTTGTGTGTGGGGACATCTTAGGAGGTAGTGGGTAAGGGTGTTGCTGTCGGGTCTTCTGCATAATGCACAAGAGCGTTGCTCAGGGGATGCGGGGATACCAATCTCCCAAGCAAAGTCATACCCAATGATGATACGGGAAGCAATCACGTCCCCTTTCCGCGACCCCTTCCCATAGACGTACGAGAGGTCAGGAAGTTTACGGAGGACATCGTACCAGGAGGGCGGGGAGTCCAGGGGGATGGCTGCTTCCCGAGCTTCTCTCTGTTTGCGGCGAATTTGGGTCCTACGCTGTAAAAGTGTTTGAGGAACAACGTAGTCAGGTGTGGCCTTGTTGCAGCCAGTCTTGGCAAGGCCATCTGCTGCCTCATTCCCCAAGATACCGACATGACTGGGTATCCATAGGAATGTCACAGGACGGCCTGCATCCTGAAGTGTGGATGTTAACCCTCGTATTCGGAGGATGAGGTCCTTATTTTCCCCGGATCCAAATGCGATCCCGTCGAGAGCAGACCTGGAATCGCAGCAGACAAGCAAGGGGCAGAAACCATCTGCTTCTTCCTCAGCGAGAAGGGCAGCAAGGAGGGCTATTAGTTCAGCCTGAGTGGAGGATGCCCCGTCAGAAACTCTGAGAGACAGTTTGATAGGCTCAGGGGCATCAGGACGGGAGATGTAGACACCAGCCCCGGCCCTACCTGTAGCGGGGTCAACAGAACCATCAGTGTAGAGGACGACCCTACCTGGGGACCAGTGGGCGATCCTGGAGAGGTGGTATTTGCAGAGAATAACAGGGTTCACCTGGGATTTCTGGAGCGGTCCACCGAGGGCAATCATTTCAGGTTGAAAATCCAGCCAGGGAGAAGGAGACGAACCAACAGCAGGGGTGACAACAATATCAGGCAGGAGGTCGTGTTCCTGAAGGGCTCGGATGAGTGACCCTCGCCACTGTCTTCTAGATGGAGGTCGGCCTCGGACAGAAGGAGTCAAGTTGGCTTGGACATAGTTGCCCCGAGGATCTCGTAGAATGGAAACGGCAGTTTTTATGTAAAACTCCTGGACACGATCCTGTAAGGGGGAAAGACCAAGTTCGGTATATATTTTATTTTAATTCTCTTCGCCACAGGGCAGCGTATTGGACCCGTTGGTGTTTGCTTGTTTGTTTCATAAATGACATGCCAGAAGCTATACACTCCTCCACACAAATGTTTGCGGACGATGCCAGATTATTTAGGGAAATTAAGAACCAAAGAAGATGTGAAGAGCCACGGAAAGATCTCTGTGAGCTTCAAGGACGGTCGAAGAAACGGCCGATAAGATTCAATGGAGAGGATAAAAGAAAAAGAAAAGTAACAGAGACGTAGCCGATCGCCCAAGCGGCTAACGAGCCGATCAGTGGTGAAGAGGATAAAAACAATGCCACGAAGTGTAAGTGTATGTGAGCCTGACAAAGAGAAAATAGATAAACCCAAAGAGAAATTTGACAACTGGCCACATACATTACGCTACAATTGGTAACCCACGGAGTGACTCACTCACACAAGATTGGATGAGAAACGGATCTCTCTTCCAGTCTTCAACCACAGCATCGAGGACTGGATAATTCATGTGGAGGCAGCTCTCACCGGCTCAACAGCTAAAGATGAGCAAAAGTTGTTTGGCCTGGTCCGTTCCTTCCCACAGAAGTCACCATGCAAGTCTCAGAAATCATCACCAACCCTCCAGCTGACAACAAATTCGCAGCTCTACGAGATGCTCTGAAGAGGCGATACCAGCGGCCTGGCGCCAGTCTCGTGCAAGACCTATCAAGTCTACCCCTCGGCAAATCAACGCCTGCGCGTCTCTGGGACGAGATGTGTAGACTGAACTCCCGCCACACGGACAGGCTTCCTGACACTGTCCTGCGCCAGCTTCACGCACAGAAGCTCCCCACAGAAGTTCGCACTGGACTACTCTACAACCCCGGTGCCGTACGCAGCCATGGCAGACAGAGTATTCCATGAATACACTGCTGTGCGCCTTGCTACCGCGGACAACTCGGCGGCCACATGGTCACTTACCTCCGATCTTGTCAGTCGGATCAGCGCTCCTCAGTCGAGCTACATCTCACAAGGCATGAAGGACCTGCTACAGTCTCTACACAGCAGGATGGACACCCTCGAGCAGCTCTGCTCCTCCATCGACTTCCTCGGTCACAGAGTCTCGTCGAGCGGCATCCAATCCCTACCACAGAAGGTAACTGCCATCAAGGAGTTCCCCAAATTTGAAACAGCGAAGAAGCTCCGAGAATTTCTGGGTTTAGTCAACAACTACCATCGCTTCATTGCCCAGGGTGCTAACATTCTCGCTCCTCTCCAAGACGTCTCACAAGCCTCTCATTTGGACTCAAGAGGCTTTTACAGCATTCACCACTATCAAGCAGCACATCAAACGCCTTACCCTGTTGGCTCACCCTGCTCCCAATGCCCGGACCACTCTCACAACCGACGCTTCTTCTACTGCCGTGGGCGCCGTCTTACAGCAGGAGATCAACGGAACTCTCATGCCCATTGCCTTCTTCTCACAACGGCTTCAACCACTTCAACTCAAGTACAGCGCCTTCGATCGAGAGCTCCTGGCCATATATCTTGCTTTCAAGCATTTCCAGCACTTCCTCTAGGCCCGTCAGTTCACCATCTTCACTGATCACAAGCCCCTCGTCCATGCCTTCGCTTCAGCCTCCCAGACACATACACTTTGTGTTCTTCGCCACTTTGCTTACATCTCAGAGTTCACCAGCGACATCCAACACATCAAGGGCAGCCACGAGATTGCCGACACCCTCTCTCGTTGCATTTCCAGCATTCTTCCCTTATCTCCACCCATAGATTGCAGACAGCTTCCCGTTCCCGGCATGAACATCAAGTTGTGGTGCAACATGTCCTGTGGGCAGCCTAGACCGTCGTGCCTCACATACCGCCGCGCCATCTTCAACCGCATCCATGGTCTCAGCTACCCAGGTATACGGGCCTCCCAGCGCCTTTTCATGCAACGTGTCGTCTGGCCCGGCATCAAGGCTGATACTAGGAAATGGGCTGCCCAGTGCTTGGCCTGCCAGTCCTGTAAGATACATAACCACACACGGGCTCCCTTAGAAACTTTTCCTGTACCCAAAGGACGCTTCCAGGTAGTGCACCTTGACATCGTGGGACCTCTTCCAGCATCCCGCGGCAACACCTACATCTTCGCCTGCATTGACCGTTTCACCAGGTGGACAGAAGCCATTCCCATGCCCAATGCTACAGCGGAGTCAGCCGTCCGCGTCTTCCTGCCTGGTTGGGTCTCCCGTTTCGGTCCTCCCACGACTGTCATCACTGATCGAGGAGCCCAGTTTGAGTCACAACTCTGGCATAGTCTCCTACAGTTCCTTGGCACTTCCAGGCACCGCACTACTGCTTACTACCCTCAATCCAACGGCATGGTAGAGCGGTTTCATCGGCAGCTGAAGGACGCCATCAAGGCACAGCACGACCCCTACAGTTGGTCGGATGCTCTACCCTTAGTGCTCCTTGGCATCCTCGCATCACACAAAGAGGACAAGGACTGCAGCCCAGCAGATCTCACCCTAGGCGAGCCCCTTCGCCTACACGGGGACTTCTCACTTACTTTTGACCTTGACCACTTCACTCCTGCTGCCTATCATGACCTACGCAAACACTACAACAAGCAGTTTCTGCATTCAAAGCGACTGCCCCACGCCAGCCTTCCCGTCGCCCTGAACACATCCATCCTGCACTACTCAATGCCGAGTATGTCTTCGTCAGACGCGATGCTCACCGCAACCCACTTAAACGCCCCCTACAACTGACCCTTCCCGGTTTTTGCACGGTCAGCGAAGTTCCTGACGATCATTCGCAATGGCAGACATGAGACCGCCAGCATAGATCGAGTGAAGCCGGCCACCTTACCCGATGGGCCCCCAGCCCAGCATTACCCCCAACAAACCACGCCTGCACCAGTCTACCCACCAACCTGGTCTCATGGCTCACTGATTTCTTGACTGGACGTTGTCAGGCAGTGAGGTATCAGGGTTCTGTTTTCACATTCCAACACCTCACCTGCGGTGTTCCCCAGGGGACCAAGATGGGACCACTGTGCTTCCTCATCCTGATCAACGACGCTCTATCGGACACTCCTCACAGGTGGAAGTACGTGGATGACAGCACTGTGGGGGTTACAGTGCACAACACCGCACCAGACTACTCATCGCTGCAAGGCACCCTGGACAGGCTACAGGTATGGACTACGGAGAACAAGGTCACCATCAACCACACCAAAACCATAGTCATGCACATCAATACCGCCACCACTCCAGTGCAAGTTCCAGCAGTCATAGTGGGTGCCCATCCTCTCCAGTTAGTGCAGTCTGCCAAACTCCTGGGTGTTACCATAGACCACAAACTGGACTGGAAGGCCCATGTAAACAACACAATCAAGGCAGCCTCGTACCAACTCTACATGCTACGACGACTTAGGTCACTTGGGACACCCAAGCCAGAGCTGAGGACTGTCTACAACGCCTTTATTCTCCCCAAACTAACGTATGCGTCACCAGCCTGGTCGTCTTCTCTCAACTCCACTCAACAACGTCGGCTAGAAAAGGTACAGAAAAGGGCCTGCAGAATTATGCTCGGCACAGACTACTCTGGCTACATCAACGCTCTCTCCACCCTGGAAATGCCATCCCTCAGTGACCCCCACCACCAAGCACTAGCAAGGTTTGGCAGTGGACTACTGCACCACCCTCGTCATCGCCACCTCCTGCCACCGGCAGCCCCCCACCCACCTCGCACAGTCCACTACTACAACAAAATTCAGCCCATAAGAACCCACACCGATAGATATAAGAATAGCACCATTCCATCTATTGTTAAAATAATAAACAACTCCTGATTTATGTACTGTACAGCCCTTTAAATGTATTCAACGCATATTATATCATTATGTCTAAATCAAATGTAAGTCTGTATATTTTCAGCCACCGGCTGCAACTCTATTAATAAACCGTTTATTATTATTATTATTATTATAGTTGCCACTTACAGCACCACCTTGTCCACAACATTTTTGGGTACCCTCTTTTCATCCTCAGGTACCTACTGCTCCTGATATGGACCATGCTCCTGACGAGGACCCTGCTCCTGATGAGGATCCTGCATCCGGCCCTATGGACCCAGACACCCCACCCGGCGCCCCTGAGGAATTTGCACCTGGCAGCTCAACTACAACGAGGAACGAGGACTGCCACAAGATTCTCAGATCAAATTTTCTTCATTATCTAAGCAATTATAAGAACATTTGGAAACTTCTTATGACATAAAATAACAATGAATAGTTTATTATTATAATAATTCAACCTTTGGATTGTTTAATATTTATCCTGACAGTGATACAGCCGAAAAAAGATCCACCAATCACAATCACCTTTACCTACGGCCTTACTTTACCAAGTATTGCCAGGTAAAATTGCGAGCACGAGATCCAGGATGGGGTCGGTGCATCTTTGGCTGACTGTACATACATCGCGTTACTTTTCGCGACACAAATCATAGTTTAAATTCTTTAGAAGATAAGGATTTCACCTCCTGCCAAAATGTTTTTCTTAGTCATTTGAGCGACACATAAAAACACTTACTGTACTTTGTTATCTCGTCCGAATAACTAGGAACACAAATTACATAATGTTATACTCAACTTAATATTCTAATACTTAGTATGAAGAAATATTTACAATTATATTTACATATATCGCACTACTTTTCGCGACAAAGGCTCTGGTTATAATAATACAATACTGTAGTGTGTTTCAAGTGTGTTGAACCGAGTCATAATCAAGCCTAGTTTGGTTTATCTTATCGTAACTATAATACTGTATTCTGAATCATTTGTCACATTACTTAAGTGTATATATATATATATATATATATATATATATATATATATATATATATATATATATATATATATATATATATATATATATATATATATATATATATATATATATATATATATATATATATGAGATCTTAGCTTAGTAGGGCTCAACAATTTTTGTATCTGGTGAAATGTCGGGGTGAGTTGTCAAATTATCTCATTATCAGGGTACACTGGGCTAAAGACCACATTGGTTTTCTTGTGTCTTAATCAGCTGATTGATGTTAATTCAAGGTGTATAAGTCTTCTAATGTTTATAATCTATTTCTACTGCCTATTGGTACTTAGAAGTGTTGCTTCTAATTATTTTCCTTAAAGATTGCTTTAAAGTTTAGTTATAATTAAAGTTTTGTTTCAGTGTAAGATTTCCTTCTCCCCTACCATTTATTGATTCTTCTTGAGATCTCCAGTATTGATATTTACCGTTGATGACATAAGGAAAAATTTTCATCTCGCATATTGTAGTGGACGTTTCCCCTACAACTGCGTAGCCGCATTCCAATGCCACAGTATCCTAGCAACCAGCCACCTGCTACGTCTTCCCTAGCAACCAAACGAGCGGCCCAGGGGGAGGGGGGGCGTCACCAGATGCCACAGTATCCTAGCAACCAGCCACGTCTTCCCTAGCAACGGAGTCGAGAAACCGGCGACTTCCCACGGATTTACTTCCGGCTGCTGTGTATATAAGCTCTGTCTCTCCATTGAGATTCATTCTGGCCTCGGTTCCTGAACACGCAACACCTCCTCCGCTGCTGCCTGGCGGCCCTCGCTTCTCCTTTGCCTGCCTGGCGGTCCTCGCTCCCGCCGGCGAGCATGGCGACCCACCAGCTGTCCTTCTCTGAGCTTCCTCACCAACCAGCTCTCTTATTCTACTCTACGTTCCTGAACACGCAACACCTCCTCCAAGCAAGCTCCTCGCTGTCCAGCTTTCATTCAACCAGGAGGCCAGCAACAGGCAACATCTTCTCTAACGAAGCTCCTGCACATCTACCTCCTTCAACACGCTTCTCACCGAACGTGTCTACTGAGCAGCTCCTCACCACACGGCATCTCCAGCACCAGACTGTCTACCATATAACTTATATTATATAAGAAAACCACCACCTTAGAGTTTCCATCCATCCTGAGTGCTAGACAACATAATATCACGAAACCCTACAATATATATTCATGGCTTTTCTATCTTCAGTTACTAAATCAGACTGGGGGAAATCCTCTGGATTAACAAGGTAAATGAACAATATAGAAAAGCTAGGAATACTGAAGATTACATTACTAAGATAATAATTCATTGCAATTGGTACAATATTAAAGTAGGTCTTTAACTCTGGGTAACCCACTGATGGAGTTTAATATTTTGTGTAGGGTACTAAAGTAACAATAAAATCTGAGATACAGTATTGCGGTCACTGTACTGAAGTAATAAAGTGAATCAATATAGTACTTAGGGTGTAATATTGTGGAATAGTAATGAAACAGTATAGTACCGTGAGTTCGGGGCTGGGACAGCCCAGCACTGAAACAGAGGTCTACTGTGGATACAATATTGAAGCAGTACATTACAATGGCAACAACAGAGGCATTGTACTACTGACACAGTACAGTATTGATGATACAATATGCTGAACACTACAATACTGTAGGTAGATAATATAACCATTATTATACTCTAGATGCAGTAATGAAGCAGTACAGTTCTTACTTAGAGTATAGCAATGAAGCTTTACACTGCCGTAGGACATTACTGAGAATAGACACTACGATGGGTAGAGTGAATGAAGTAATGTAGTAATGGAGAACAATACTATGAATGCAGTCTTAAAATATTACATAAATGTGAGAATATTAATAATTCCTTATACATGTACTGTGCTGTAGTACTGGTGTAGTTCAATACTCTGGTTGCAGTATTGCAGCGGTACAGTTCTTTGGGTACAGTACCGAAGCAGTACTGTACAGTAATATGTGCACAATACAGAAACAGGACCCAATATAGAAGTAATACAATAATGAAACAATATAGAACTGTGGGTTTATTTAGGAAATATTATATTACCCTGAGAACAGTAATGTACTAAAGCAATGCAGAAATTTGGGAACAGCATTGAAGCTGTATAGTTCTGTTGCGTTTCAGTACCGTAGGCACGCTTCTGTAAAAAAAAAATCTACTGAAACATTACAGAAGTGTGTGTACAGTACTGCACTGAGTAGCACAATACTCTCTGTACAGTAATACAGCAGGACAGTACTGTGGGTACAATAGTGAGGTGGTTGTATACGGTACAGCACTGTTTTAACATAAATGAAGAATAACAGTACTGAGCTATTTCAGTACGGTGGTGTAGTTCAGTACTATGGATACATGACTGAGACTGTAATATTCTCTGTGAATAGCTGAAGCAGTGATTTACCCTAGGTACAATATTAATGTCGCACAATACTGTACTGGAGCACTGAAGTACTCTGGGTATAGCACTAAATTACTACAGCACTTTGAGCATTATACTGAAACAGAAAAGAGCTGTATTGTAATGAAGCAGTGCAGTACAAGCGCTATGAATGAGGTACAGTACCGCAGTAACGTTCAAAAGCCCACAAGCTTAAGGAGTTATACAATAAGGTTAGAGAAAGATAAAAATAAATTGTAACCATTTTATATCCCCAAAACATTTAACTTGTCACTATGAACTACAACGAAGTTTGCACAGATAAAGATATACATATGGATATATGACAAAAACAAACAATAAAACAAGCATTAACAGCATGATCCAATACTCGAGTGAATTTCTGAATGTTCCAGCTTTATATTGTAACGACTGAAGCATTATCTTGGTGCTCAGAGTAATGTGAGTGAATATTAAATTTGTATATTGTGTAAAGTACTGGAATGGTTCTGAAATTCATACGACTAAATACATTCAATCAGTGTCACCTTAAATTAGTATTCTCAGATAGGAAAATGAAAAAATTAAGGAGGAGAAACAGAGAGACGCAGCTGAACTATATAATCCCTCTGCATCATGTGAGGTGCCATTATCAGTGTCCTCTTCGTCAGCCTTTGTCTGGGCCATTTTCGCTCTCTCCAGCTTCTCTCTCTCCAGGTCATCGAACCTGGACCCACCGCCCGGGTGTATGGGCAGCAGTTCCTTGGGAAGACCATAGTGGACGATGGGTTCTTGGCCGCGGTTCTTGCCCTCCGTCACGGGTAGAACTACAGGTTCTTGTACCACTTCCATCCCTGGGTTACGTTCAGTTCCAACAGTGGGTTCGAAATCTATCTCTGAGCTTTCCGTCCAGGCAAAGGGCATCGTAGTCTGGTCGAAGGTGCTCTCAGTAACGTGGTGAGATTCTTGTGGTGTGTTGTGGTGAGTATCTCCTTGTGTGTTGTGGTGAGTATCTCCTTGTGTGTTGTGAAGAACACCGGTCATACTATGTTGTGAGGCTACGTCACCTGTAGCATGATGCTTCCCCCCTTCTTCCCCTGAGAAGTGGTGGAGAGACTCTTGTGAGGAAGGGTTGGAGTCTTGATGGACCAGGTGTGGGTTAGGTGCAGGTAGACCCTCGGACAGGCTTGGTGGCTCCACTCCACTTTTGTGTTTTGTAGGATACGTGTTTTCAGTCACCTTCTTCAATCGTTGTCGATCCTGGGGGAAGAATTAATACTTAATATAACGTTTGTGGGGAATATTAGAGAGAGAATAGTTTATTAAGGAACATGGAGTGCATGGTTAGAGCCTAGAGGGGTAACTGAAACAAGCGATATATAATGACATTCCAAAATCTATTATGACTTTTGGAATGATTTTAATGCATAAAATATTTATAATAAGACAAAAGTTGAGAGAGAGGAAGCAGATGTGTAGTGTTGCATTTTAACATTGAGGAATGATCGAGAGAAGGGACACACTCATTAGGAATACTGGCTGGGTTTAACAGGACATGGGCATCCTTCTTCCCGTCAGTGAGACAAATGAAATTATTAAGATATATATAAAAAGGCAGTTTCAGGAACACAATGGAGTTGGTCATATCTGCTAGCACAGTCTCTGAACAGAAAAGACTGATTCTCAACTCAGTTACATATATTCTGGAAAGCTTAGTGAAAATTCTATATTTTGACAATGCAATGTAGGACCACTTTTCGATAATATGTTAGTGTTTCAAGAATTCATGCCTCCACAGTTTCTGTCAGAGCAAATGGCACTCATCAAAGACAGTTGATGTTCCTATGGATATGTTTGTAGTTTGTGTGTGTGTGTGTGTGTGTGTGTGTGTGTGTGTGTGTGTGTGTGTGTGTGTGTGTGTGTGTGTGTGTGTGTGTGTGTGTGTGTTCAGGGTGGTGTAATGCGTCTAGTGTGGCAGCATTATGTTAGTGTTAAGGTGCAAACGCTGCTTGCTACCTCTCGCTTTCAGCTACCGCCGCTGGCTAGCCCTCATGGCGAACAGGGAAGCAACTTGCATAAGTCCTCCTCTACCAGTACACAGCCTTTTCACCAGGCTAGACCAGCAGGGGATCTCGGAGCAGCAGTGGGGCTCAGAGGGACGGCGCATAGGCCCACTGGCATGTGGACTCGTCCTGGTGCCTACCAACTATTGCTCCGTTGCCTTACGAATTAACCTGCAGTGGAGCACCGCATTAGGCAGACATGCTTACAGAACTCCAACAAGACCCCAACGGCGATATAGACGTAAGAGGTGACCAACATGGAAACCCAACGACTACACCAACGGATGATGGCAATACATGATGGACAGGCTACTAAGGCGAAACCCAACAAACTGGGCTATCGGTGTTATATATGTATGTATGTTTATATGCTGCCTTATTGATTGTATATGTTATATATATGTATGTTTATATGCTGCCTTTATTGAATATATATATTATATATTATATTACTTCTTACCAAAGTCAGAAAGTGTTTAGGCTTGTGTAAACACGAAATGTGTTAGGCACGTTGTAACCAAGAACAGAGAATAAACGCCCAGCCAGACCGACCATGTGCTTGTCATTCTCCCATTAAATAACGCAAGATACTACACTGGCAACGAGGATGGGATTCACAAAGTGTTGGTGAAGTCCTTGAAGAGAGGATAGTGGCCACTGAAGGGAAGGCTACTCTGAACCTGGAGAATTTAAGTGAAGAGAGCAACCATGGCTGGCGTCAGTGGATACATGTGGATACATCGGACGATTGGGGGAGTATGATGCAGACAAGGAAGATTTCACATCATAATGTGAGAGAATGGACTTCTTTCTGGCAAATGAATTAATGGACGACGGTGGTGATGCTCAGAAGAAGAAAGCCCTTCAAGAGAAAAGGAAAGCAATCTTTTTGACAGAGGTAGGAGCTAATGTTTATTCTACTCTGGTCAATCTGCTTACTCCAGACAAACCCAAGGACTCCTCACTGATTCAGAGTACCAAGATTCTGAAGCAACATTTTGATCCTGCTCCACTTGAGATCGCTGAAAGTTACAGATTTGGCACCAGAGATAGAGGTAAAGATGAATCAGTAAGTAATTATATAGTAGCTATGAAGAAGTTATCCATTCAGTGTAACTTTGGACAGTTCTTAAACCGAGCTCAAAGAGACAGGTTTGTAATAGGCCTGAATTATGAAAAAATACAGAATAAGTTAATGAACACCACTAACTTAACTTTTGAAAGTGCATGTCAGATAGCTACAAGCATGGAATTGGCCGAGAAAAACATCAGAGAATTTGTTCCCAATGCTGGTAGTGAAACAGTTAGCAGTAGTGGCTCAGTGTGTAAAGTAACTGTAGCTAAAAGGAATAAGTATACCACAAAACAAAGAACAAATGCTGATTTAAAATGTAAGAGGTGCCGAGGGAAACATGAAAGCTTTCAGTGTAAGTTCAAGAATTCAAAATGTTACAATTGTCAACGTATTGGACATATTGCTCCTGCCTGTAGAAGTGATAAAGGTAGAGTATATGCCATTGAAGGTGGAGAGAAGGAAACGAAAAACAGTATTCATGAGAATGTTAGTAATTTTGGATCTGATAATGATGAGAGTGCCCATGTGTTTACTATTTACACCAGTCGTGAAGAGAAAGTTAAACATAGGTATAATGTGGACTTGTGTATTAATGACACACCTGTAACCATGGAAATGGATACTGCAGCTGATTTCTCCATAATGAGTAAAGATATGTATGAGAAACTATTTGCGCATGTGCCTTTAGAAGACTCAGGTGTCAAGTTGAGAACTTATACTGGAGAGATTTTGAACACAGAAGGTAAATTAGAGTGTGAGGTAAAGTACAAAATTCAGAATTTAAAGTTGCCATTAATTATAGCTAGTTATGTGAATAGACCAACTTTATTGTGTGAACTTGAGATGGACTGGAAGGAGATATTTAGTGTTAGAATGTGTAACAGTATTCCAGGTCTTGAGAAATTGCTTGAAAAATACAAGATTTTATTTGTAAAGGGACAGGATGGTATAAAGGGTTATGAAGCTCATATCACCTTTGACAAAGATGTTACACCCATATATGCTAAGTCCAGACCTGTTCCTTATGCATTGAAAGGTGAGGTTGAGAAGGAATTAAACAGACTTGTGAGTGAGGGAATTATTGTGAAAACCGCCAAGAGCAATTGGGCTGCTCCAATAGTAATTGTACCTAAAGCTGATAAATCTGTTAGACTATGTGGTGATTATAAAGTCACCATTAATCAAGCTGTTGAGGATGAGCAATATCCCTTACCCACATCTCAAGATTTGTTTGCTGCACTAACAGGTGGAACTATTTTCACTAAGTTAGACTTGTCCCAAGCATATGCTCAGGTCTCTGTTGATTCTGAAAGTCAACAGTACCTTACCATCAACGCTCATAAAGGATTGTATAAGTTCAAAAGGTTGCATTATGGTGTTAAAAGTGCACAAAGTTATTTCAGTGCATCATGGACAAAATTCTTGTGGGTCTTCCCAATGTGTTATGTTTTCAGGATGATGTCCTTATTGTTGACAGTGACATCCAAAATCATGTCAAAACCCTAGCCATAGTATTCGAAAGATTGTTGGCACACAATGTTAGGCTCAACAAGAGCAAATGTTCATTCCTAGCTAAAGAAGTAACTTATCTTGGCTACAAAGTGAATGCAGAAGGGCTGAGACCTGTAGAAGATAAAGTAGGAGCCATAGTAAATTTACCTGCCCCAAAAAATGTCAGTGAATTGAAAGCTTTCCTAGGTATGATACAGTATTATTCAAGGTTCTTGAGTGGACTTTCATCAGTTTTAGCCCCTCTGCATGAACTATTAAAGAAAGGGATACCATGGAAATGGAAGAGTGCAACTCAGAAGTCATTTGAAGATTGTAAAGCTGCTCTGTCTAGTACTAATGTTTTGGTCCACTATGATACCAGTAGAACACTAAAGCTTGCTTGTGATGCATCGGGCTATGGATTAGGTGCTGTCATAAGTCACATAATGGATAACGGTGAAGAAAGACCCATTGCATAAGCCTCGAAAACTCTTACCCAAAGCGAGAAAAATTATGCACAAATAGAGAAAGAGGCTTTGTCTATCATATTTGGAGTAAAGAAATTTCACCAGTAACTATATGGGAGGAATTTTGTTTTAATAACTGATCACAAGCCTCTCTTGGCAATTTTGGGTCCTAAATCACCTGTTCCTACACTTGCTGCAGCAAGAATGCAGAGATGGGCTTTGATATTGTCGGCATATGACTATGAGATACAGTACAGACGTTCTGATGATCATTCCAATGCAGATGCTTTGTCAAGGTTGCCATGTAGTGGATCAAATGATGGAGTAGAGCCTAAGGTTTATGCTGTAACCATGATAGCAGAAGATTTTCCAATCACCTCCGGGATGATTGCTCATGAAACTAGGAAAGATGTTGTATTAGGAAGAGTCCTGGAGTATACACTAAATGGATGGCCAGAAATTTGTTCATCCTTAGACTTTCAACGTATCATTTAAGGAGATGTCAATTATCAGTAGAACAGGGATGTGTGTTGTGGGGTATGAGAGTGTTAATTCCACAGTGTTTTAGAGGGCAAATTTTGAATGAACTGTATCTTGAACATCCAGGTATATGTGCTATGAAAGCACTGGCCAGAAGTTTTTTGTGGTGGCCTAAACTGGATGGTGAAATAGAAATGATGGTACGTGAGTGCTCTGTTTGTCAGAATGTTAGGAGTATGCCACCGAGCACACCTTTGAAAACCTGGAAATGGCCTACCCGTCTCTTCCAAAGAGCACACATTGACTTAACATAAGAACATAAGAACATAAGAATGGAGGAAACTGCAGCGGGCCTATTGGCCCATACTGGGCAGTCCCGTTTACACCCAACCCCTATTGCTCATATAAGCATCCAACCTATGTTTGAAGCTATTCAGCGTATTCGAGTTAATGATAATATTTGGTAACTTGTTCCATTCATCCACCACTCTGTTTCCAAACCAGTGTTTACCTATTTCCCGCCTAAATCTTAATTTGTCTAATTTAAAACCATTGTTACGAGTTCGCTCCTGGTTGGATAGTTTGAGTACCTTTGTAATGTCCCCTTTGTTTAGCCCTGACTTCCATTTATACACCTCTATCATGTCGCCCCTCGCTCTACGTCTCTCGAGGGAGTGCAAATTA